TTCCTACCTTAGCAATAATCGGGAATGGCCCCTCATATCTACGGACTAAGCCTTTGTGTAAGGTTCTCATTACCTTGAATTGTTGTGGTAAGAGCTTCACAAAGACTAAGTCCCCCACGGTGTACTCCTTTGGCCGCCTCTTCTCGTCCGCCCACTTCTTCATCCGCTTGCGTGCTTTCTCCAAACACGAACGAGCTAGATCGGCTTGTTCCTCCCAAGACTTCGCCATCTTAAGTGCTCCCGGGCTCTTCCCATCTTGGAGTGGCGTGGCCAAAGTGTGTGGAGTCAGTGGTTGTTGCCCCGTGGCAAGCTCAAATGGACTCCGTCCCGTAGACTCACTTCGCTGCAAGTTATATGAGAATTGGGCTATGTCCAAGAGTCTTGCCCAATCTCGCTGGTTGGCACCTACAAAGTGTCGAAGGTAACACTCTAGCAAGGCGTTCACCCGTTCGGTTTGCCCATCGGTTTGAGGGTGAAAGCTTGTAGAGAAGTTGAGTTGTGTCCCCAGCAACTTAAACAACTCAGTCCATAGTCGGCCCGTGAAGCGGGGGTCTCGGTCACTCACTATGCTCCTTGGAAGTCCCCAATACTTCACCACGTTCTTGAAGAACCCCTGTGCCGCCTCCTCCGCTGTGCAGTCTTTCATGCACGGGATGAACGTCCCATACTTAGAAAATCGATCTATCACCACCATGATAGATCCAAACCCCTCGGACTTCGGTAGGGCACTAATGAAGTCCATAGAAATAGAGTCCCATGGTCGCTCGGGAATGGGCAATGGTTCCAGCAGTCCTGCGGGTTGCCGATTCTCCACCTTGTCTTGTTGGCACACAAGACAGGTCTTCACATAAAGCTCCACAGTGTCCCTCATCTGTGGCCAGAAATATGCTGTCTCGACAAGTGCTAGGGTGCGTTTTTGGCCGGGATGACCAGCCCACTTCGTGTCATGGCACTCCTTGACGAGATCTCTTCTTAAACTCTCCCATTTTGGGACATAAAGACGACGCCCCTTTGTGTAGAGAAGGCCGTCCTCTTCCCAAAACCGTTGGGTTTTGCCCTCCTTGGCTAGCTTCATCAACTCCTTCGCCATGGGGTCACGTTCAAGTCCCTCCTTGATGCGCCCGATCAGGTCCCCCTCTGCTTGACTAATGGCTGCGAGCTCTGCCTTCCTACTAAGTGCGTCGGCTACAACATTGGCTTTCCCGGGCTTATACTCCAAAGTGTAGTCGAACTCCGCTAAGAAATCCTGCCACCTAGCTTGCTTAGGTGATAACTTCTTTTGAGTTTGAAAATAGCTCGTTGCCACATTGTCTGTCTTGATGATGAACTTTGCGCCTAAGAGGTAGTGTCTCCACACGCGCAAGCAATGAACCACCGCGGTCATCTCCTTCTCTTGCACAGTGTAACGCCGCTCCGTCTCATTCAACTTGCGGCTCTCGAATGCTATTGGATGCCTCTCTTGCATCAAAACTCCTCCAATGGCAAAGTCAGAGGCATCAGTTTGTACCTCAAATGGTTTGCCAAAGTCCGGTAGAGCTAGAACGGGCTCTTGGATCACCGCGGCCTTGAGGTCATCAAAGGCCTCTTGACATAGGTCGGACCATTCCCAAGTTTTCCCCTTCTTGAGTAGGTCCGTCAATGGGGCTGCCCTCTTCGAATATCCCTCGATGAACCGCCGGTAATAATTTATCAACCCAAGGAATGACCGTAATTCGGTTACCTTGGTCGGTGCCTCCCATTCCACGATTGCCCTGATTTTCCCCATGTCCATCATGAGTTTCCCATGCCCAATGACATGACCAAGAAAGTGTACTTCCTCCGTGGCGAACGTGCACTTCTCCTTCTTGACATAAAGCTCATTCTCCCGAAGTACTCGGAAGATAATGCGTAGGTGTTCCACATGCTCCTCCATTGAGTTGCTATAGACCACGATATCGTCCAAGTATACCACCACAAACCGGTCTAAATAGGGTTGGAAGATCTTGTTCATGAGCGTGCAAAATGTGGCCGGTGCGTTGGTTAGTCCAAAGGGCATGACTAACCATTCGAACGAGCCATAACGTGTAACACATGCGGTCTTAGGCTCATCTCCCTCCGCTATTCGTACTTGGTAGTAACCTTTTTGTAGATCCATCTTTGTATATATCTTGGCCCCACCAAGTCTATCAAATAGGTCGGCAATCAAAGGAATAGGATAGCGGTTCTTGATTGTTACCTTGTTAAGCGCCCGGTAGTCCACGCACATCCTTAGCGTCCCATCATGCTTCTTTTGGAATAGCACCAGTGCGCCATAAGGTGCCTTTGAAGGTCTCATCTTCCCGGTCCCTAACAGCTCATCAAGTTGGCGACGTAGCTCCTCGAGCTCACTTGGGGACATGCGATATGGTGCCATTGCGGGTGGTTTGGCACTTGGTTCCAACTCGATCTTGTGATCCACCTCCCTCCTAGGTGGTAGCTTATCGGGTAACTTCGCCGGCATCACGTCCTTGTTTTCCTCAAGGACAGCTTGAACAAGAGGTGGTATGTCCGTCGGCCCTTCCGTCTCATCATCCACTTTGAGTACGGCTAAGAATGTCGGCTCTCCCTTCTTCACCCCCTTGGCTACTTGCATAGCCGACAATGTCTTAGCCCCACTTGGCCGCTCATTGGGAGTTTCCAATGTCGGTATCATGCACGGTGAACCCTTCTCAAGAATGCAAACCGTGCTAAAGGATGGCATAGGGATCGCAGTTACCTGTCTCAGGAAGTCCATCCCTAGAACAACCTTGAAGCCATCCATTGGTGCCACCGAAAAATCCACTTGGCCCTTCCAAGTGCCTAGGCGTAGATCCACACCTCGTGCCACGCCGTTCAGGGGTTGAGCCTTGGCATTAACCGTTTTAAGCCACCCCTCACCTCTGGACCATTGAAGACCAACCCTCTTGGCTTCCTCCTCAGTCACAAAGTTATGCGTTGCGCCCGTGTCCACCAACGCCCTTATTGGTTTCCCATTGATGTATGCCTCAACGTACATGAGCCCCTTGCTTGTCGTCGTAGGCATCGGCTTCGCCTTGAGAGCATTAAGGATTTGGAGAGATCCCATCTTGCTCGTCTCCTCATCTCGGGCCTCCGCTTCTTGTTGCTCTACTATGGCAGACAATGAACCGAGCTTAGGACAGTCCTTCATGGTATGCGGTCCTTTGCATACGAAGCAACCACCCTTCGGTACAAAGGACTTCTTCTTTGCCTCGTACTCCTCACGCCCCAAACTCTTCTCTCCCTTCTTGAAGAATGATTTTCGTGGGTTCTCTTTTCCCACGTTGTCGTGTCTCTCTCCCCCACCTTTGATGGGGTTCTTGTCTTTTCTCTTGGATGCCTCCCCATAGCTATGGTGCTGGAAGTCCGTCAAGGATTCAGCAGCGGCAATGGCTTCATCCACCGTTTGAACATTCCGCCGTTGCACCTCTTGTTTAGCCCAACTTTGTAACCCATCCACGAAATAGAAAAGTAGGTCTTCTTGGGACAAGTTGGGGATTTGGAGCATAAGGGTTGTGAAGTCTTTCACATAGTCACGAATCGTACCTCTTTGCTTCAACTCCCTTAGCTTCTTGCGTGCCTCGAAGACGACGTTCTCCGGATAGAAATGTCTCTTTAACTCCTTCTTGAAGTCGTCCCAAGTGTCAATCCATGCAACGCCCCGCTCAATGTCCGCATGCCTTCTTCGCCACCATAACATGGTCGTATCCGCTAGGTAGGATGTGGCCGTCTTGATCCTCGCCGTCTCATCCTCTAGGTTGAGATTGTCAAAGTATTGCTCCATTTGCCATAGGTAGTTCTCGACTTCCTTAGCATCTCGAACTCCATGGAACTTAGAAGGCTTCGGATAGTCAACCTTAGGGGTATGGGCTAGGTTGATCGTTGCCACACCACTGGCAGCAGCCTTTTTACACAACGCCAACTCTTCACGCATACCCTCAAGACTAACTTGCAAAGATTGGATAGCATCCATTACCTTTTCCTCCAGTTGAACAAATCGGGCATCGAGGTCCCCCACATCATCCTTCACAAGGCTAAGTTGCTCAAACATATGGTTCTCCAGCAGGTTTGCGCCGTTCTCGACCCTCTCGAGCTTAACGCCCAGCCCTTCAACAGCTTCCTCCAAAGCAAGAATCTCCCCTCGAGCTTTGCTTTGATCACGCTTCTTCTTGCCATGGTTAGGATTAACATCCCTCCCACGTTCCTCGGTGAAGTTGGACATGCTAGTGTCAACGTTTCCAGCCATGCTCCCAAATGTGCACAACACGAACCCGAATCTGAACGCGGCTCTGATACCAACTGTCACGGACTTGTTCCCTCAACAAGCTCACGTGCGGCCTTAGCTCCTTTCTGCCCCTCGCAGTAACTAAGTCAGCCTGGACAACTCCTTAGTGTTGTGTGTGCTTAAGTGCTTGGCTAGAAGGAAATGTGTTAAAGGCAAGAACACTTGAAGAAAGCTTGAGACTTTATTGAATGCTTGGAAACTTCGATGTGTACAAATGAACCACCTTGAGGGGTATTTATACTTGCCCTCCTTCTCAATGGATGGTTGAGATCTATTTGATCTAACGGCTATGGTTTAATTCTAGAATATTCTATACAACTCTATCATATTCTAGAATATTCTACTATACTCTATACAAGTGTACATGTATCTACATGAGTCTAGAATATTCTCTTAGCCTCCAGGATTCCGTCCCTTCCTCTTGGGATGTTCTAGACTCTTCCTTGTCACTTGGCCACGGTTATGCCGTGGCGTATGCCATGTCATGCCGCGGTGTATCAGCCTGTCATGCCGCGGCATCGGGAGATTCGGGACATTTTGTACTCTTTCACGCACAAATAACTCTTCGTCTAATTTTAGAGCTCGTGACCGAATTAAAAGTTGTTGTGTTATTGTCGGTGTACAAGTTTTTGATACATCAATACTAGCCTTTTCCATTGAAAAAACTGAAAATTAATAGGTTTGGTAACTTATTGGGCCTATTTTGCGAAAGAAATTCTTGATGGTTCCGAAGTTATAAAAACTGAGACGACCGATAACACTGGAACTTTCCAGTGACTTCCGCGGATGGCTCAGAACATCGAAGGTATTTCTTCCACTTCTACACCTTCTTCTCCCTCTCAGAGCACGATTTTATCTCTCACTGGTGCTAAATCGAGATAAAGATTTGACGAAAAGAGTGAAATTTCAAGAATGTTTGGAGTAGTATTCCCTAATCGGAGCTTCCCTATGGATATATCCACCTTCGCTCAAATCGACACCACCCACTGGCTCCTCGATATGAACACCTTCGTCGGTAAGTTAATCCCTCTTACCTCTTGCAGAATTAACGGTCTGAGTGACATTAACGGATCGCTGATTTGCCGCAGGGGAAGCGTACGACTCAATCCGGGAAGTCTGCATCTTCCTTTTGAATAACTTCACGCTCCCGCCGGATAAAGCTCTCGCCGTGTACATCCAATCTCCGGGCTCGCCGTTCCTTTTCTGCGGCGCTGTCACGCTGTCCCGCCCTTCCGCGGTGCTAACATTGCCGTGGCCAGAACCGGGCGGGGAACTCCAGCTCACGGCGGATGCCACACCGCTGTCTGCTAAGATCGGCGTCTCGGTTGAGGAACTAGCCACGCTGCCGTCACTCGATGTGGCTGCGGAGAAGAAGATCGAGAGGCTGGCCATGAAAGTGGGGGAGAACTTGTTCAATTTCATGCAATCGTTTTGCGGTGTCGATGGTAGCAGGCTAGTGGTGCCCATGGATATTTTGGACAGGTGGTTCAAGAAATTTCAAGAACGGGCCAAACGTGACCCGGAATATCTCAAAGGTTTCGCTCTTTAGTTTCTTTTTTATTTCAACACAACAAAAATCAAGCAGCCTACATTTTTTGTTTGTACTGATATTTATATATGCTGCGAAAGTTTGATTCCTGCAAGCCTAGTGATCGAGCTAAATTAGATGTGATTTTGTATGATTATTATGTTGTAGCTTGTTATGTTATGAAGTGAGACCGCTTTCATGAGAGTTTGTTTCCGTCCAACCACAGAAAGAAAGAAAGAACAAGAAATGGATATTTTACAAATGTAGTAAGTAAACAAAAACTAAATGCCTTAAAATGCCAATTTACATATTATCAACTATTAATAAACAATCATATAATCAAAACACCAATTTACAATTTTTTTACCAATTTGCTGATGATAGGCATTGCTACTGAGAAGCTAACCCATATCCTTGCTCAAAACAGTTCCTTTTTCGAAATACTGCTATGATCATCCAACCTTCTCACTTCTCACCTTCACTTAATATTTGAGAATTTCCCAACATTAAAACAATTAATTATTGGACCATTATTTGTGGACTTCCTTTCGTTTACTTCTTGAAATTTTGCCCAACATTATGTTTGTTATTTAATTAATTTCCTTAATTTCTTTTTCACTTGCAATTATTCTTGTATCTCAAATGAATATGCCACTTATAGAGAGATTTTTATTTCAAGTACTCCTCTCCCTTTATATATTTTTATTAGTTACTCCGTAAAAAACTTGTTAAATGTTTCTTGTTATTTATTACATCAATTTTGGTGGTTTGATTTCCTATTTGTAAGTTGTAACATACCAAATTTGAGCTAAAAATTCATCATCAAGTCTAGTTTATTCATACCAAATTTGATGGTCGAGGGCATTTGGGGTCATTCTAGGTGAAATTTTTTGATGGAATATTTTGAACACGTTCATCATCAAGTCTAGTTTATTCATACCAAATTTGAGCTAAAAATTCAATCGGGAATGTAGTCAAATTAATTGTTGAAAAAAACTGCGTTGTTTATATATATAAAACACAGTTTTGATAAAGAATTTATTTAACTACCTTCCTGACTAATTTTTTAGCTTAAATTTCGTATTAATAAACTAGACTTGATGAGAACATGCTAAAAAATTCATCAAAAATAGTGGGCCCGGGTCCGGTTCGGGCCGGGCCACCCGCCCAGGTCACGGGTCGGGTCCGGTTCGGGCCGGGCCGGTTAATTTTTTTTATATAATTTATATTTTATAGTTTATAGTTTTATACGAGTATTAAAAACAAACTTCAATTGCATTTATTTGAAATGAAATAGGAACTACATTTGAAAATTAAAACAAACTTTAAGAGATAAACATTTTGAAAATTGTAATCAATCGGAACTTCCCGCACCTCCCGATCCTTTGGCTTTCTCACATGACTTCATATGCTTGATTGTCATCCCGAATCCGCCTGAAGCCCCCATGTTACATTTTTTCTCGCACCTTTTGCAAATTGCGTACCACATCCCGGTCTTCGGGTCCTTCTGCTTATCAAAATTATACCGTACAATGGCATCTTGATTTTCCATTTTAACTTCTTAAGTATAAACTATAAAGTAGATATATAAATAATAAATATAATATATTGGAGAATAAGAGAATTAGAGAGTAGAGAGTTAAGAATAGGATTTAGGAAGAATTGGAGAAGAGATATGAAAAAATGTTTAAGATTAGGAGTATTTATAGGGTTTTTTACCCCCCACCCCCACCCCCCCCCCCCCACCAGCCAACCCCCCGGACCCCCCTTTACCCCACCCAACGGCTATATAGCCGTTTGGGTTGTCCCCAGCCCCACCCCCAAGGCCCCAACGGCTAGTAGCCAAACCAAACAAAAAAAAGTGTTTTTTTTTTAAATAGACCCGGACCCGGGCCCGGGCCCGACCCGGCCGGGCCGGGTCACAAAAATCCAGAACCGAGCCCGCCCCCGCCCCTTCCCATCGGTTCGGGTCCATACCCGGTCTCGGACCGCCCGACCGGGCCGGTCCCGGGCCCGCACAGTACCGGGCCGGGCCGGGTCACGGGCCGGGTGGCCCGAACCGAATCCATCCCTACACACACACACAAAAGTTCTTGACCGGCCAGGCCCGATAGGAGGTGTTCCGGACACCTCAATTTGAGGTGGTTCTCGGTGTTATTTTTATCTGATTTTTTTTTGTGTATGTACTTCATCATGTCTAGTTCATACATACCAAATTTGAGCAAAAACTTCAATCGGGAAGGTTGTCAAATGATTTTTGAAAGATAACTGCGTTTTATATGTATATTCCAGCGCAGTTGTTTTTCAAAAGTCGTTTGACAACATTCCGACGCGGTTACTTTTTCGATTGAATTGGTTGAAGTTATTGTACAAAACAATATTAGCTGCTTTTCATGTAATTTTTCCTTAAATTCAATAATAAAACACATTTTAAATATTTCTCCAATTGTTTAGCAAATTTATCTACTTCAGTACCAACTTCATAAATTTTAGCAAACTAACTTGATTCGACCAATTTTAGTGTTACCAAATGATGAGTAAATAAAACAATCAAATTTTTAACTATATGAAGTGTGGTTATACATAAAACAATCAAATTGATGAGTAAATAAATTCAGCAATCAAATTTCATATTCATTCACACAAAACAACTTGTCTTCCATATTCAATTAGAATGCCACACTAATCAAGTTCAACATGTCTTTTTTTTTGACAGATGTAAAGATATAGTTCAAAGTGATTAAAATCATTAAATCACTTTGTCACATATGTTGAAACTTATTTTATGACTCAAATGAGCCCATAATCAATTATGATGTTCGAGACATAAGTTAAAGATATTAAGTAAAAGTCGATTTATGAAATATCTAATATCCTCATTATCATATTTGGCTTATTTTGGCTATTATTATCTACACTAATACCAAATTAATTAAAATACTTACCGGTCAAGATGAATAGTGTCAAGTTCAAAACATAAAATCAAATAGGACATAAATGAACATATAATGAAGTTATGATGTTTATAGAGATCAAACCTACAACAAAAGGTTTTCTTGAGCCATCCGAGAAAGAACTTATCACATTACTCGTGATATGACCGTGTTTGGTGCCCGTAAACAAGAGGCGTTCCAATCTGGAATTCAAAATTAGAATACGAGTGTAAAATAATAATTTATGTGTTAAACCAACGTGGACGTCAACCCACAATAAATAGATATTCATTCGCACAAAACAAACATTTCAAAAAAGACATGTTTATATTCATTAAAAATCTTCATGAATCTGTAGCGTGGTATATTAATTGAGTATATTTATGGAGCCCTATAAGACTCTCATATGAAATTATATAGGTCATTTTGTCTCATCAAGCACCATTCATCATAATGGGGGATGATAGGACAATAAAAATCACTAGTGGGAAAAACACATTCTATAACGGTTAAAATCAACATTCTATAACGGTTCGGGAACCGACATTGTTCCAATGGTTATAGAAACTCAGGCGCTTTCCATATCGGTTGTCGCAACCGTTATAGAATTTATTCTATGTCGGCTGAAATCCAACCGTTATCGAATGTCCTTCACACACGTTGTCTTTGTACAGCACTTTCCGTATGGGTTCCGCAATGTAACCGTTATTAAATACGTTCAATGTCAGTCAAATATCAACCGTTATTGAAAGGTTTGTCAGCTTGCATTACATTTTAAACATATTATATTTATGAATGCTGTTTTTACAAAACCATTATTTAATAATATTCACAAAACAACCATAATATCCAAAAATCATATATAGTATTAATCTTACTAGCAAAAATTAAACATCATTTTACACCATCAAAATTCAAGAGTTGGCAAGTTGCAACAAAATTGCATATCACTTTCTAATATGCTAACAATGTTTAATTTCTACTAAATAAATACTAAATGCTAGTTGCTTCGCAGAAAAACAATGCCCAACGCTCTCGAATCTCGTTGATGTCTTGTTCACTAAATGGGTCTTGAACATTGAATATCTACAAGATCAATAAAACAATAAACCAATAAGTAAAAATTAAGTAAAAGAAATAAAGACAAAAATATAGTGAAACATGAGTAATAATTTATTACCTCCATCCACGAATCCACAACACTGGCAGAAATAATAGTAGTCATGTGTCTCATAACATAATATCCACATTCAAAACTTCCTCTTTGCATTCGAGACTGCAAATAAATAAGGCATCAAGTCAATATATATTATATAGTACACAATTGAAAATTCCATCATTACCCAACATGGTCCAAAAATAACAGATACAAAGTCTTGATTAAATCAACTGAAATTCAAAACAATAAAGAACGAACTGAAATATCAATAAAGTACAAATAAACTACATTACTAATAAGGTGCAATATCAATCAGAGCTTATTCAATAAGTTGCTGCAAACTGAAATGAACACATTGCAGCCTTGATAAAAAAATTCAATAAACTAGAAGCTGAAATGTTTTTTTTGCACAAGACATAGTAGCATTGATTTTATCCCTTCAAATAACACAATATAATCAAACAACTATAAGGTGCAAACTGAAATAATAAACTGCAATCCGATTGAACACTTGACTCATAAAATCAACAAAGTCAAAGCTGAAATGTAATTTTTTATACAAACAGGGCACTATCTATCATAACATAAACATATAAATTATAAACATCTTATAGTACTTGAAGATAAATAAAAACATCATTTACCATTGGCTTAATCCATTTCGGCTTGGAATTCCTTTTATTTTTTGTCATTTGATGTGCTTGCATCGCCCTAATGAAAACAAAGATTAGTGAAGTTATAGCTTATGTAAACATTACATAAATTCACCAATTTAATATTACTAAAATTATGTCTTACAAATCTAGAGTACTCTTTATGTTTGCCTTTGGTTTGTTCCCCAAAGAGCATAAGAACACAATTAAGTTTTTCCTCGGGCACAATACAAACAACTGCCAATGGTTACTGCAATGAAATACGATAACAACTTGAATTATATTTAATCCAAAATGATTAGGTATGGCTGAACTAATATCGGACAGCTTAAATTGTAGGAGTACACCTGGGTAAAAATGAAAAGTACATAATAAAATAAAAACTCTTACGGATAGTAGTACGGTAGTAAGTAGCACTCTTTGTTTCCTTCACTCAGTTGAGTCATTATATAAGTTTGAATATCTTCACGCTTGTTCCCCACATCTTGAGTGGTATGTGGGTCAAGAAAACCGTACAGGTGTGCAGTATCCTTTCGAACACAAATCCCATGCAAATGCCTGTAAAGTTAATCATAATAAATATATAACAAAAAGTTTAAGAAACTTCTATCTTCCATAAAAGATTAATAACATAACTACAATGAGAAAAAACAAAAAATTCATCTTACATTATCCATACTTGTAGAATCACTGCACTTAGCATTTGATTCCCCACACATATCTCTAATATCTCCTCAGAGCCAACAAAAAGAGATATAGCAGACCGCCCAACTATTTCTTCTTTCAGGATTAGCTCTATCGGTTGTGGACCAAGGTGAGTAGTCATTGTCAATAAACATGATATTGGACCTTTGTTCTCATCAGAAGCATTGTCCTCATCATGGTTGTCATTATCCTACACAAACAAAAATGGGGATGGAAGATATATGTTGACACTATTACAGTTAATTTTTTATTATTATTTTACTATGTTGATATATGACATATCCTAAAATAAAAGAGTTGTTTTTCATTAACAAGTGTTGGTATTTATTTATCACCTTTCCATTTGTCCACTCCTTTACGTGAGGGTCAACCAATCTTTTTGGCCATTGAATGAACTGATTGGGGGCCTGTCCAACTGTCTGGACCTCTTCACTTGGAATTGGGACCAATGCAGATGCATCCAAAACCTCCACAACCTCCACCCTAACAATACCTGAATCTATTCTCTCATGGTGTATAGTAGGACCCAAATTGTGTACCTGATTAAGATTTCAGAATTTATGTCATTTGGAAGTTCTGCTACGTAGAATTTATTTCAGAATTTTTATAACATAACTAGAATACCTTTCCCATGGCTACTAAGTGAAAAGGGGTATCCACATAAAGTCGGGATAGCTCATCATCCGACTCAGAGATATCCTCTGGAGCATTGCTCCCTTTTGTACTGACATGTGTAGGAGAACGAGTGCGGCGTGCCTCTGTGTGCAGTTCTGGTTGTTGGGTTAAACCCATTCTCTTAAGTTCATCTTGAAGCTGCTGAGCAAATACTCGTGACAATTGTTCAGTTACCTGTTGTGTTACTTGTATTGTTACCTGTTGTGTTACCTCCTGCTGCATCTCCTTCTTGATTCGATCAACGTCATTTATGGTCAAAAGTGTGGATTTATGACCTTGACGTGCTAAGGGTCCAAAGTGTGAAAGAATACCAACACCTGTTCTAGCACCACGTACACGACCTGGGTGCTCAGGACGTTCAGTAGCCGCCGTTAAGATATCATCACGACCGATGGGAGCAAAGGTCCCTTGCTTTTCCTCCTCAACTAAAGAATCCCGCGAACCACAAATGCACAACCCTTTTAAGGTAGTTATACAAGTCAATTTATATTTACAGTCAAAATATTATCAATCTTTGACTTACAATTTTTTCTCCGATCTCGAGAGACCTCTTTGATGTATACTTGCCTGTTCGTCTTATTCGGCCTTGCTTCCATTTCACATGACGGGGTATGGGAGAAGGAGCTTTCAGCCCCAATGAAGGATTAGCCTGAGAAGCTTCTTCATATTCTTTTAATTTCTCAGCCATAAGTTTTTTTTCTAACAGGTCATATCCACCTCGGGACAATATGTGAGGACAGTCATTATGAGCTTGGATTTCCTGTGCCTTTTTCCTGCGCTCCTGTTTTACATGCACAACACAAAGAGATGATAATGCACCATGTCAAAGGTAACAATACCCTAATGGTATCAACTTTAGTACAATATAGTCCTGGAACTAGAAACACAAACATCTTCTCAAAATAAGATAATGTGATCTTGTAATAAATACAGAGGGGATTTATGAGAATCTAGAAACACAAACATCTGCAGAACAAAACAAAGCCTTTAAGAAAAACTTCTCTAACCAGAAAAGTTGGGTCTTTTCTACTTCGTACAAACTCTTGCCAAGTCTCAGCACTTATCCATTGATACTTTTCTGTGGGGTTTTCCCCAGATCGATCGCCAAATATGTAAGATGATGTCAAAAATGTCTTGAATCCCGTCCACCTATTACCAGCATATGATATCCATCTTCTTCTCAGTTCATGAGTATTAGGGACGTCAAAAGTGAGCTACAATAAAAAAGTGAGTTTGAGATAGAGCCGTCAAATCTAGCTTTAGACTGAAATAGAGCTGTCAAAACTGAACATGAAAACAGTTACCTGGATGGCCTCCCAAATCTGGTTTTTAACTCCCTCCGTAACAACTTCCCAACTAGGGAGTAGTATACTAGCTCTCATCCTCCCCTCGAGAGCCACGAAACTAACAATAAAACTTTCCATTGTTATCAGGAAGATGCGTTTTAGCAAACTGAAGAAAAGATTCAATGCCATTTTCATACTCATCACTTGTCCGTCTACAATTAATCCAACTACGGTCCATAATAATTATCGTAATGTCTGCAATACATGCAAACACAGATACAACCATAAGAAAACCACATGATAGTAATAGAAGGAAATTTACTTTAGATCTCAAACAATAAATTCTAAAAATGAGATACTGAGTTAGTAAGGCATTCATACAAGACTATATAAATGGAAAACTATAATACAAGCGAGACATTCCTACTAGCCAAACATTTATTATAATAGTTATTATAAAAATGAGATGCTAGTAAAAATAGACAAATATTCTATAGAATATTCTACCTTTTTTGGGCAAGTTAGCATCTTATTTTTAATTTTTGTTATTTTCTAGATGTACTTTTGTAACAGATAGAGAGTATCATTAAGTAATTCATTTAATAGTTGCATACTTGCACCGTTTTATAATAGTATAAGGGAAGATATAGAAATAGACAAACATTTAAGAAGTGATTCTAAAATCTAGAGTACTTGCCAAAAGCCCCAAAAGCTTAATTAGTTAGATGATCATTCAGATCCAAACACACCTCTAATAATGTTAAATGTAATAATCTTAGTTGTGCCTTAATAATGCATGCAACATGCCTGTATAGGTTTCAAGGCCTGTTGAGAATTTGTTGCTAGATGGAGCTAAAGCAGTTGCAAACTGAGTCTCTATAATAAAAGATAAGGATGGTAGGAGAATGAAGGCCTGTTGTCCTGTTTGTTTAATGACTATCACCGTGGACCACACCCTACAAGCTACTGATCTGAGAATGTCACTGGCTATACACTTACGTTTATATCACCCCGATGATATAAACTTAATCTGGGAGGTTATGCACAATAGACGAAAGTCTTCTGTACACATGCCTTCATTCTTCCTTGGTGTTGGCATGGCTGCTGGAGTTGGAGCCCTCAGTCTCTTGACAAAAAATTGGGCCAGACCATCTCATAATAAAAGGTAAAAGGGCAGAACATTGATTACAGTGTGCTGTTGAGTCTCATGTAAAATTGAATCAATCTTGAACGAGCAAATGTGGTGCTTGGAAGTGATAGAGAAGACTACGAATGTTCTGTAGATGTGAATGTTTATGTATGTATTACTTATATTGTTCAATATTATTCATTCTGTATTTGCTTGTTTGTTACCAGTTTTGTCCCTCCATAAAGTGTTGTTTTGGTTGTTATATACTCCGTGTATGTTTTATGTTGCTCTCCTAGATGTGTTCTTGAAATCCTAATTTTCAACTTTAACCACAGACAACTGGCTTCTCAAGGGAAGATATAGAAATAGACAAACATTCTTGGAAATAAAGTACTACTTCAAGTTTGCATTTTTCTTTGAGGAGTTTTATCAAACACCATATCTCCAGTTCCTATCAATATTAGGCATTTAGGCTATACAATTAGGAATTTTAGGAATTTTAACAAACACATGATAAGCATTACAAATTTAATTTCTTAGACCTACTATTTAATTTTGTATATGAGCTAAACATCAAATGTGAAGGAATCAAACCAATTGCAGAAAAATGTGTATATGAAAACACAAAAATGTATACACAATAATTACATAATTAGTGTGTAGCAAAATAATGGTTTTTACCTAGATTGAGAGTCGGTGGGTGCAGATGCAGAAGTGGCGTTCGGCGTCCTGCTGCAACGGATGTGGAAACGAAGCTCAGCCGTGAGGAGAAGCGGCGTTCGGCATCCAGGCCCGCTGCAACTGACCCGGCCCGCTGCAACTGATGTGGAACCGCGGCTAGGCAACGACGAGGAGACGGCGTTTGGCGGTGAGGATAGAGCGTCACTGGCCGAGGAGCAGCGGGAAGTCACCGGGTAGGGAAGTCGATCTTCTTCTCGTACTGCGCGCTAGGTCTTCTTCTCACCGGCCGTACATCTTCGCTAAGTCAGGACTGAGGAGAGGAATTAAAAGCAAAGACATTTAACAAGGGGCAGATTCTAACCGACATTAATAATACTTTTCAATTTTATAAAAAGAACCCCGTTTCACCTGCATACTTTCCAAATATTATGAATATGACCCCGTTTTTATATTTAATGTCGGTTCTTTTATTATCCGTTATGAAATGAGTGCCAATACATTATTATTTAGCCTAGCGGAAGGCTATAAACTTTAAAAATTTGCAATTTTGACCCCGAGCCTACCTACTATCACGGTTGTATACCAACCCACATAAAATGTTAGTTATAAGATGCAGTTTTTCCACTAGTGAATGAATGATAATGATCATTCAAAAATAGTATATCTAAAAATAGTGGAAATTACAAAATATTCAATATCTAAAAAAATAAATATATGAACACAAACTACCCCACTTATAAGAGGGGGAAAGACACATAGACGTAGATTGGATTCTGATTGAATTCTAAATGTGTTGACAATCATTGAAATCTCATCATTAGAAAATATGTTCTATTTAATTACTTAAGAAATTAATTTATTACGTAGTATAATAGAAACAAAATAAAGTCTAGTGTTCTAGATTTCTCAAGTTTAAGTCCAATTGAAAAATAAAAGAACATACATGATACATTTCTCTTATCGAACAAATTCAATTAGAAAAAGTTGTACTGAGGCCTTTGCTTCATAGACTGATTGAGAAGATTGAACACATCTTACAACGAAAGAAGTAGAACTTACATATTGTAAGAATGTTTTTACATAGATCTATTTCAGTCTCAGACCTGACTAGACGTAAATAGACCAGACCAGACCGGATATAAACAGACTAGACCAAATTAGAACATGAAATTTCAATCCAAGTAAAACGTCATAATTGTACACAATATTGTTACATAAGAGCATCTCCCAAAAAGATCTGAGAAACTGCCTACCGGTTACCTTGGCGAGTGTATGTTTCAGATGAAGCCCCGTTCTAACCTTTCTCTTTTGACATGACAAATGGTACAAATGGACTCCACAAGCTCAAAGTTGTAAAAAGAGTTAAACTAAAATTGAGAGTCATCACGTTGTTGCTCTCAACATGAAGTGATGCAACTTAAAGAGGCCTCTTATGGTCTCAAAATGTCTCTAAAGAGACGGTTCACTAAATTGGAAGATCAAGAGAAGGATTTTGAGTCCAAAATTGTTAGAGTTTTTTCAAAAGCATGAAGTAGTTATTTTAATTAAAGGGAAAATGGTATTTCTATTTCTTTTGCTCTTGACATGTTTCTTAAGAGGCTATTGATTGCCCCTTAACCATGACAATCATCATTTTTACAAGATTACCCTAATTAACATTCTATTTTGGGCAAGCTGATTTCACTGCTAGAAAAATAGCTATTTGCTAGAAAAATAACTATTTGCTGCGGTTATTTTTAGCTATTTGATGCGGTTCTGAACCGCATCAATTGACAGGGCAGCAAATAGTAGGAAAACGTATTTGTTGCGGTTCTGAATCGCAACAAATAGCTATTACAACGACCTTCTTCAACCACGGTGGCGGGTGTGAGGCCTAGCAGAGCTTGCTGAGGGCGGTGTAACGAGGAGTGGTCGGGACTCATGGAAGCAGCTCGAAGGGAGTCAACGTTTTGGGTGACCGATTGTAAGAGAGGAGGGAGGGACCAATATATTGTAGGAGAGGAGGGAGGACTGGATGCGGCGTCAAAGAAGACCTGAGTCAGCAGCAACGACGAGGAGATGTGGCGACGGCGATGATGACCTGCGGCTGCGAAGCTAAGACGTCGGCCAGAAGTGATCGAGTGACCCGGGGCTGGGATTTTAGGAGGGTTGGGTTTGAAGTGTGTTGATCGAGTGAAAGGGGAGGGAAGTTGGAACATCTAGGGGGTATTTGCTGCGGTTCCCCATATCCGAAGCAAAAAAAAAATGGAAATTTATAAGTATTTGTTGCGGTTCCTAGGTGACCGCACCAATGGAAGCGCAACAAATACTTATGAATTTTGCCTATTTGCTGCGTTTTTACTAAGAACCGTAGCAAATGGGTAACAGCAAATAAGAAAAGTTCTAGTAGTGTTTGAGATTGCATTTTTTAAAACTTCAATTACTAATTTCCTCAAGGGCATATATAGTTTGTGGACAATACGTTTTTCTCTTAAAGGGCCCAACTTATGTACCACGACCTCCATCCTAGAATAAGTTTCTCATTAAAAAATGTCGCAATTATTCGATACAATAATTAAATAAGATAATTCGAGTATATTATGAGAAGTAGTTTTGATAGGTATATAACATATTGATGTTAGTGTGATATTATAGGTATGTTTTAATTTTTTATATTAATTTTTCATTTAAGAGTGTTACTTATTTCCTAAAATATAAACAATAAGTTTTACCAAGATTCTGGAACATCTACAAGAAAAAATGAGAAGCTTATGTTGGGAGGAAGAGAGTTGGTAGTCCGTAGAACCATGAGTATGAAAGTTCTAGAGTGAAGCTAGAGTTAAAAGACTTTGAGTATTAAAAATGGCAAATTAATGGTATGCAATATTCATATTTTGGATCCCCATCCACAATCGGGAGGGTGATCTTTTATAGTGGAAATTTTATGCTTGGAGGTTTCGGATCCCTATCCACAACCTCGGCCTGTTGATATTACCTTAATCGACTACGGAGCTTCGGTCATTATTATCTTGACCCCGTGGCACATGGGAATATACTCGGTCGGAGGCAATACAAATAAGAGGGACAAATATATTACATCTATAAGTGCACACATATACAATTGTTTTTTTTTTCAAAACGAATGACATATTTTTACATTTCAAGTTCATATGCCCATTGTCCATCTTCCTTGGACAACTCTTCAAAGTTGCACGAGGTCTTTATCAATAGGACTCAGGGTTATTAAAAGACAAAGAACATATGGTTTAAAAAGGAAACTTTTAGTCAAAAATAAATATGTATGTACATTGCCCATCGAAGAAGAAATTTCTAAGAACTTATCTTGAGAAAAATGTCTTCACGCACAGCCAGTTTTGTGTTGTCATATCAAGGATCAAGAACAAACACGATTACAAATTTTAATTCATTCTAATGATCGAAGATTTTTTCACTAAGACCGTAATATTACCGACATAGACATTTTCTAAAATTTAGAAACACAACCTTTCAAATATTTTGCGTCTTAGTCATTTTGAGGTGTTATATATTTTATGTTTTTTGCGTGCACGGGCCACCTGCGTACACGATTGTCATCTCAAAATCTATCATTCAAAGATACAATTTAATTTTTGCTTCTTCACTTTACGGTTTCAGTTTTTCGAACCAGAAGACTTGAGAGCATTTCTGGTGGCTTCAGAACCAGAAGACCACATAGGTGTTCTGGTGGCTTCTGAACAGAAGAACATGAGGTCTTCTGGTGGCTTCCGAACAGAAGACCATGAGGTGTTCTGGTGGCTTCCGAACAGAAGACCACGGAGCAGTTCTGGTTGGGCACCTGGATCGTTACATCCATAAATGTCCAACGTTCGTATCTTTTAACACATCGTTAAATGGACAGTTCATAGACGATTCAATGCCCAACGGATTGATCATTGATGTCCAACGTTCAGGTCCCTTAACTCACCATTAACACACAACAAATCCTCCTATAAATAGCTAGTAGGTGCTTTGCAACAACACATGCAATCATACACAGTTAGCACGTATATTTGAGCTCTAAAACACCTTCAACTTTCCTGAAAATTTCTTAGGTGTTCTACCTTGGTTTCCGTTCGTCGGAACTTTCGTTTGTGTGCTTACACGATCGTTCGTTAGCCACCGTATCCTCGGAAACGGTCGTTGCAACGCTCCTAGCGCCGTGGGAGGCGACAAATACGTTTTAAGAACATCGTGCGTAGCACGAGCTCTGGCTATTTTCTGCCCCACTTATTTTCCGGTTTTCTTTGCCTATTTTATTTATTAATTAATTTTATTTAATTAATATTTCTTTTTGGCATCGATATCATAGATCGATTCATGTTAGCCGACCCCAAATTCTTTTGGGATTAAGACTTGGATGTTGTTGTTGTTGTAATTAATATTTCTTCGTTTTTGCGAATTACACCCAACCGTCCATACATTGACTTTAAATAGGATTCAAGAAGTAAAAATGACTATAGAGAATAATAATACGTAGTAACTTATACTACCTCTGTTCCTATTATAACTTCTAAATAGGTTTTGCACACAATTTAAGATAGTGGGTATTGTGTGGTGGAGAATTGTGCAGAGGAGAGAGAAATGTGTAAGAAATGTTGTGAACCACAGATTATAATAAGAAAAAGAGATTATCTAGAATGAGGAATGGCCAAGCCCGCCCAGATGTAAATTGACAATGTGATAGAAAAAAAGAAAAAGTAAATATAAAAATTTATAAATGTAAATTTTTATATGTATAAATTCTACATATAAAAATTGTGAGAATACATTGAGAGATGCTCTAGAATGAGGAATGGCCGAGCCCGCCCAGATGTATGGAAGCCGCAAGTCCGTTATTTTGGCAAAAAGCCTAAATGGTCCGCTAATGCGCCGAGATGCATATTTTGAGCCGGCTGCTATATTTATAACTGCTCATTGCGAAACACTCGTATTATTGGAATGAATGAATAACCGTGTGCAGACCATTGTTTACCAAATTGCTTTTCGCTAAGAAACAATTACCCACTGAACTGGAAAGTGCGATGGGAAAGAAGTTGAAGTTGATAGCTTTGATTGGAGCTGGAGCTTTACTGGGCTCTGCTGTTACTGTACCTCTCTTGAAGCTTTTCCCCAGGTAAACCCATCTTCTTTATTTGTTGAACACTGGAACTGCATAATTCAAAATTTCGCACTCATGATTTTCTTACATTTATTTTTGCAGGTTCGTTACACATGAGGATATCAAAGGGGCTAAAGCTAATGGTATTTTTTCTAAAACCAATAATCCTTTTACATTTTTGGCAAC